AACAATTTATTGTTATGTATACTTCATTTGTGTAATCATGATTATCAAGGGAATACAACTGAAATGCATGCAAAATTATGCATTCTGTCTTTGCTTTGTTCAGGAATGTGAAACGTTCGAAAAGTGCTGTGCCAATGTTTGCGGCAATCGCAGCTGTGTGGCGGCCCGCTACATCGATGCTACGGGCAAGAAAGGGCCCATGGGCATGCCAAAGGAGGCATCCTGCGACAAGTTCATGTGCACTCAGCAGGGCTCCGAGTGCGACATCTGGGATGGCCAGCCTGTGTGCAAGTGCCGCGACCGCTGCGAGAGAGAGCCCCACTTCACCTGCGCCTCAGACGGGATGACCTACTACAACAAGTGCTACATGGATGCGGAAGCGTGCTCCAAAGGCATCTCCTTATCAGTGGTGACGTGCCACTTCCACCTCACCTGGCCCAACACTAGTCCTCTCCCGGCAGGCACCACCGCATTGCCCACCACCACGCTGCAGCGCACCACTCCTGTAGACGTGCACGGTCCTGTCCTGGTGAACAGCCCATCGCAGCAGTCTGTGTTCGTCGGCAACACGGCCAGCTTCCTTTGTGAAGTCGCTGGCCGGCCAAAGCCAGAGATCACCTGGGAGAAGCAGATGGACGGGCAAGGAAAAGTAGTCTTGAAACCCAATCACGTGCATGGGAACATCGTGGTCACCAACATCGGCCAGCTGGTGGTCTACAACGCTCAACTGCAAGATGCCGGCGTCTATACATGCACGGCCACCAATGCGGGCGGATCCATCCAAGCGCGTTTCCCACTATCCGTAGTTGAGCAAGAGCCAGTCACCAAGTCGAACTCCACTCGTTTCCCGGCAGAGGAATGCTTTAAGGTGCCTGATAGCGAAGACTGTGGGGAGGAAAAGCTTAGTTGGTTTTACCACCCCCAGAGGAACAACTGCTACACCTTCACCTACGGCAACTGCAGCAAAAACCGCAACCACTTTGATGCTTATGAGACCTGCATGTCGTCCTGTCGGGACGAACTCGCCGCTCCTTGTAACCTTCCCATCTACCAGGGACCTTGCAAGGCGTACGAACCTCGCTGGGCTTACAGCGGATCCCAGCGCCAATGCCAACCGTTCGTATACGGCGGCTGCAAAGGCAACAAGAACAACTTCAAAACCAAAGAAGCGTGCGAGGATGCCTGCCCGTTCCCGAGGAACCATCGCTGCAAGCCGTGCAAGCCGCGGCACAAGATGGTGACCAGCTTCTGCAAAAGCGATTTCGTGATTCTGGGACGTATGACAGAGCTGACCGAGGACCAGGACTCGGGCAAAAACCGCAACCACTTTGATGCTTATGAGACCTGCATGTCGTCCTGTCGGGACGAACTCGCCGCTCCTTGTAACCTTCCCATCTACCAGGGACCTTGCAAGGCGTACGAACCTCGCTGGGCTTACAGCGGATCCCAGCGCCAATGCCAACCGTTCGTATACGGCGGCTGCAAAGGCAACGAGAACAACTTCAAAACCAAAGAAGCGTGCGAGGATGCCTGCCCGTTCCCGAGGAACCATCGCTGCAAGCCGTGCAAGCCACGGCACAAGATGGTGACCAGCTTCTGCAAAAGCGATTTCGTGATTCTGGGACGTATGACGGAGCTGACCGAGGACCAGGACTCGGGCCACGCTCTGATCACCGTGGAGGAGATTCTGAAGGATGAGAAAATGGGGCTGAAGTTCTTTGGGAACGAGCCCTTGGAGGTGACGTTTCAGAACATGGACTGGGCCTGTCCGTGTCCGAACGTCACCGCCTCCGACGGTCAGATCATCATCATGGGGGACGTCAACAACGGCATGGCCGTCCTGCAGCCCGACAGCTTCATCGTCCTTTCCAGCGTCCGACGCGTCCGTAAGCTCCGCGAGGTCATCAATAAAAACACCTGTGACATTTTGAAAGAGTTCATCCAGTAGGACGTTTTCCAGATGTCTGACATCACATAAAGTAACGATTAAATCGTTGTTCTGGGGTTCTAAGAATCGGTCTTTTATGTACAGCTTTTGTACCCAGACTGTTTGCTTTGACAAGGTTAGACATGTTTCTACAGCTTGAATAGAAATGCTCACATCAACTTGGAAGGTTTTTATAAGAGTTGCCCTTACAGTTTAAAGTAAAAGAACATTGTGGACATTAATCAAACCCATCTGCTCACACAAAAATCCCACAAATGCTCTGTCATCTGACGATTTTGATAAATTCATGTTTTTGTTTTTTTCTCTCTGTGCTTGGTTGACCTGTTGTATTATAGAGTTAGATTTGCTTAATACACTTAGATAAGTTGTATAATATTGAATATAAGATCAATTTCAGTAGGAGAAATAATCCGTCTTTAAGGCTCACTTGTGTATAGAACTGAGTGTATATGATTTAGCACAGACTGCATTTATTTTAAGCTATTTATTTTGGGGTTTTTTTTAACCGAAAAGCTGACTGTCATTTCTTACAAGCACTTATGTATTTCTACAATTGTCTTTTTATTATCTTTCTAGTTGTCTGTCATGATTTGCATTGTGAAGTGACACCAAAATAAACATTTGAAACTCTAAGTCTAATTCTTCTACTTTTTCAAGTGCACAACACCAATTACACAAACATTTTCTTAGCCAAATCTGCTTGCATAAAACAAGCTGTATTTAATAATTTGAGTTTATCTTCAATGCAATTTTGGCTTGAACTTCTTTACCTTGTCCAAACATAGTTAAGGTTTTTCAGTAAGGCAAGACACTACAAATGAATAGCGCAAAAAATCACTAATACACAGTTGAATGATTACATTGAGAATTGCAAACATTTTTTTTTGTGTGTTACAAGTTTTCCTGAAATATTGTTAAATATGCGACCTAAATAAATATGCACCAAGTTTAATACATTTCCAGAAGATGTATCTAAAATTGGATAATGCCAAGTTCAAAAGTTTTATTTCATTTTGTTGACATATTAAAGGTTTTTACTGAGATTTTGGATTACTCTTTTTATCAATCCATAAATAAAAATATATACTGCCAGTAGTCAGAAAAAAAAAATATTTTCACCATGTTTTCAGGCATTAAATGTTAACTACAGTATATAACAAGTGAATGATATATGAAAAAAACCCTTCAGTAAAAATCTTCAGAATATAGACAGAATATACATTTTGGTGCATGCAAGAGCTGCTGAAGTGGAGAAAAAAAATATTTTCTGAAAACATGTTTAAAGATTGCAATTGAATTCTACCGATGCAACTAGAGTGCAATCAAACAAACACTAGGAGAAGCCAAACAGCCCAAAATTTCAAAACTGACAGATGACAAAAAAAAAACAATGCATGTGCCTGTAATGTTTTGCCTAAAAGCATTGCATTTGAGATGTTGTAGATGTTTGCCTCCAGCATGGACGGGGCCCCTCGGCTCATTCCAGCCCAGACGCAGGGCCATGCTGAGATACGGGGGGGAGCTAGAAGATGAAGAACTGTTTGGATATCAGCTTTGACCATTTGGGACTTCCTCTAAAGTCCTGACAGATGGTTTCCTTATAGTTTTTCAGGGTGGGCTTCAAAAGACGCCTGCCGCAGGTGGTGGAAAGCAAACCCGTGACCTTAAAGGCAGGGAGTGGCAGAATAGAAAAATATCAAAAACGTTTTTTTAGCTGCCAGACGCTCAGTAGACCGATCGAGGGGGCCGAAGGGAAAGATCGGTAGAATTATGTGGGAATCCGTCCAGTTCGATGTCATTCAGAATTACAGCTCACGAGTAAAACTTGAGTATTTTCGAGTTTTTAACGTCCTTGAGAGAGATTGGGACGTGTCCTGGGATGCCCTGAAGTTTTCTAGGTATAGTAATAACTTGCGATGAAGCAGGGAATACCTTCTCTCACCCAAAGTAAACATGTTGGCTTCCCTTAGTACTCTAAATGTTCCTGTTGTAAATAAGGCAGTGTTGAAACGGTTCATTGTAGCTGCAAATCCTCCTGGCATCATAAAAGAAAATTTACGGCGCTATGTGTGCCGTTCCAATTCAGATTAATGGGAACCTCACGCATGTCTCTGATCTGCCAAGTGTGTGCTGAGTTATGTAAACCTTGTTCAATGAATTTCACCTGGTGGTTCCTGTTCCCTGGTTTCTGCTTCTTCGATCTGGCCCCACAGACTCGATGGACCCACAGCGTTGTGTCCCCGTTTAACATCGAATCATAAAGCAGATGTTTGCCAAGGTAATATATGCATATATATTACAATCTAAATGAATATTACAATCAGCAAACATCGCCTTGCTAGTTAAAAGTTGCCTAATTGGTTGATAATTATAGGGAACAGTACTGGTTTCAATGAAAGTCAAATTTGGAGCCATAATTACTATTGAAATAATGTTGTTTACACACTGGGATATTATCCAAAAATGTTACCTCAAATAACACTGTGGAGTCTATTCAGAAACACAATGTGTAATTGTATGCATTTATTTACATGTTTGGCATTAGAAATGTTTGGCCAGAGAACAAAAAAGACACAACTGCCAGACTGTGTGAGGTTTGATATGCACAGCATGTGTTTGTGCTTTGATTTTTTTTTAGATCAAAAAGGTATTAGGGTTTATTTAGGTATTTTCATATATAGTAATGTTTTTTTTTTTAATGCATGCCAGTGTATTTCATTTTTTTCCACAAAAAAATTGTTTGAGACTCAACCATACATTCAAAGCAACCAACATATTTTTATTTTTAAAGCCTCGCATATAAAATTCTGAACACAAAATAATGTTCTTTTTAGTAGCATCATATGACCCCTTTAATAAATGAAACCATCAGACAAAATATTGAAAGAAAATCTTAAAAAAAAAAATGCATATGTGCTTTGCATCATATTTGATGCATAAGGCTTTTATGGCTCATAGTCTGACATAGTGAGAATATGGAGGGAAAAAACAGCTCTGTTTTATTCAGAGACTCAAACTGAACAAAAATATGCTATTTGGTACAGATGCTGATATTTATATGATCAAATTCCGATGCTTGTAATGTAAATCAATGAGATCTTTATAACAGTACAGCAGATACTTACATAAAATATGTCAGTCGTCACTCTATATCTCCAATATGATATTTAAATGATCATAACATATAATGCAATGCAATTCAATGATGATTGAGAGATGAACAAAAAAACATTCCTCAATAGATTTGAGATGTTTTGAGGATTGGGAAGGTCATTCCTACTGAAGGAGGACGTTTGTACAATTATACTAAAAGACCTTTCTTGCTAAACAAAGTCTAAACTATCAATCAGACAACAGAAGGCATGTAGTAGATTGTGAATAACAGGTTTAACAGCAAAGTTGTTGACTATTTAGATGCTTTAGAACAGTGTTTCCCAACCGGGGTGCCGTCTGTCGAGAGCAGGGGTGCCGTGTAAAAAATCCTTTTTTAATATTTTTAAATTGCTAAAATGTTCAAAAAAGCATCTATTATATAATATCCATTTCTGATGTCGCAAATGATTAGAGATGCACCGAAATTTCGGCTGCCGAAAATTAGTTCACCGCTCAGGTTTCACTTTCATGTGGTGTGACGCTCTGCGTATTATCCGCTCTATGCGTGTGTGCTCCGCTCAGTCGCTCCACTCGTATACCGTTCATGCTCATCGGAACAGCAAAGTCCATTCAAAAATTGAGCCGACAGGAAACATCGATGTAGTACAGTATTGTTTCTGTCTGCAATAGCCCTACTGTGTTGTAACATGGTGTGGTAAATGGGCAACTCTGGTAACGCTGCCCTCTCATTCATTGATCTGCTAACCGCATGTTATGCTCACGTGTTCTGATAATAATAGCTTTCTAGGACTAAACATTATTTGGATAATTGGTAAAAAAAAAAAAAAAGTGAAATATCTTA